TATATATATATATATATATATATATATATATCTATAGATCAACACACCCAAAAACTTAATCTTTTTATCCCTCAAGAGTATCTTGCGTTGTATTGCCAACCGAGCTTTTGTCTCTTGTTGCTTCTTAAGTTCCTCCAGCTTCTGCTCCTGAAATACCCTAATTTCAGGGGGAAGGTCCTTCAAAAAAAAAAAAATAAAATTATGACTTTAACATTAGGCCATAATTGCAACCCCTATCATATGTCAAATCATAACAAGTAAAACAGAAAATTTTCCCTGAAATGCATTATAATATAAGGATAAATAAAAGTTAAATTTTATAAAAGCACAAGTAAATGGGCAATTACATGGATTTTAATATTAGGATGTGAAGAAGCCAATGATATCTGAGTCGAGTATAGCAGAAACGAAAATATTAAGACGGGCGTATAGTAAAATTAAAAATGATAAATTAATGAATGATTAAGAGTAAAAGTTAGAGTGACGTCTATTAAAGAAAAGACAATTAAAAATAAACTTAGGTGGATTAAATATATACAATAGATACCTACTAAACAATTTGACAAACTTAGCATCGAATGATTAGCAAAGGGGTAGATCTAAGGTCACATAAATAAAAAATGTTTAAAATAATTTGTGAAGAATAGATTCAACACTTCCAACAACACTCAACATGAACTGAAGAAAAATGAGAATTTATAATACTTTGCACAAATAGTTGGGACGAGGCTAAGAATGTAGATTATCAAACTTTGCTCACTTACACCAACAATCAACTTGTTTATCATAGCACATCACATCAGACTATATCATTTACAAGCTTATGCATAAGAAAAAAAAGATTCTCAATTTCATAGCACAAATTGTTCTTATAAACCAAATATATCTACAAGGGTAAAATGCACAAATGCTTCATCAATGGAAGTCTATGAGAACTTTTACACAAAAATTTTGTTAAGATCATCCTTGATGCCATTGTTGTATGAAAACTATTGATTGTCATAAAAACGTAGCTTTAAGTCATAGAAGAAAACAATTACTAACTAAAATGATATGTCCTATACATCAAAAAAATAGGAGGACACAAAAAATTTTTTTCTTTAATTCAGCAATTTTTTTTCTTCATTTCATGTGCATAAACGATTCTACAAAATCAACAAATGTAAGTTTATACATCAGAATGATTTGATAACCCTTTTGGGCTATATGTGTGTGCAAGTGATGAGTTTAGACTTAATTTAAATAGTATATACCAGATTAAATTGACCTGATTTGGCCGAGACGTAACCTAAACCCTACATAGATCTAAAGCAAGTTCAGCATATACCTAATTCAAGTCTACATCTAGCATGAACGGAGCCAAATTCTTACTCTAGACACTAAAGAAAGGACGACAAAGCCAATGACTCGCTTCCTTATGGGCAAGCCCATCCATTATTACAGGAAAAGGTAACTTAAATCATCAATCCCAAAGGCATGCCTCCCTTTCCTGTCATTTATATATACTTTCATTGTCTTCATATATAGTTTTACACATAACTGCTTTTTTGGTCTGTAGGAATGCCATCATTTTTTAAACTGGAAAAATGCCGAAATAAGTCTGAGACAGGAGCTTCTATTAATTTAATGTCTTAGTTATATCCATGGAAAAAGTTTTGCAGTACTAATAACACAAAAGAATGAGCTAAGACCAGGCTCTTATAAACCATTCATCTGCATATCATTTTTGCACATTACATGCAAGATCATATCTTATATCACTTTTTGCAAGCGGCTACATCTAACCGGAAGTAAAAATTTCTCCGCATTTTGCAAAAACTCCAGAAGTACATTACAATATCCTAATCCCTTAGGATTAATCAACCATGCATGCAGTGAGCATTCCAATCAACAACAGACTCCCAATACTCAAACTCTCATTCGTTCACAACCAGACTCAAATTAATAACACTAAAATCTAAGTAACAGATCCAAAATGAACATGAATCAGCTAGCAGACAAGCATCATAACTCTAATAGAACAGAAGCTAATCGCAACTGACCAAGCAGAAATCCCTAATTGAAAAAAAAATGAATTTAAGAAGGACTTTAAAATTATCGAATACCTTGCGAAGAAAACGCTCCGTGGATCGTATCTGGTTCTTAAGAGAGATAGAATCTTTCTTCTTCAGTTTCTTATCCACCCCCAAACTGTTCGACCGACGGCCAAGTTGCCGCCGTCCCTCCACGCGGCGATGGGCGTAGCCGCCATGCGCCATTGAAAAGACCCGACGATACTCAGACGAATCGGAGATCTATCGCAGAATTGGTAGAAAAGCGAACGTGAGAGAAAAAGGATGGGTTTCTACGGTTGGATTTTACTGAAGGAACATATTAATTCTTTGAATTTGCACCTATTTCTGTTATTTGCACATCCTAAAGGACCAAAACAGTACTTTTACATATCGCACACCTAAACTTCTCTATTTACACTGGAAGCACCCAAAACTTTCAAAAATCCTGAAAGAAGCATTCCGTTGGCACCCCCGTCTCCTTCCTCGTAGCGTCGGCATTAGTTGTTCATTATTTTTGTTTTCCTTAAATAAAAATAATTATATATTACACCCCTAAGTGTATCTATGACTAAGAGAATTAGCATAGGTCATTCGGTTGAATGTTTTATTATATATATATATATATAATTTTAAATTTGAAAAAAAATTATTTTGAAATATGAGACCGAACAGATCTCATATATTCACTAATTTAAATAATCGAGCACGATATTACAAGTGATAATTCTTCTCGATAAATGAGAAAATCACTCGATAATTGTCTCAATTATTCAAATTAAAAAATTTATGATATTTATTTGATCGGCAAAAATTACCAAGAGATCATTCTCCTATCTAATATGAAGATTAGATAGAGTTTAAATTATCTGGGTTACTAATTTTCTTATAGGTGCAAGCCTCTATAATTTATTACATCTCAAACAACTTAAATCGTTTAAGAGAACTCTGGATTAAGATCGAGGTTTTGTCTTCAATAATTCAAATTTTAGTTTTCACGATTGTTCATAGAAAAATCAACTGAGAGAGCCTCAAAGAGAAACAATTATTTTGAAATTCAAATGAGCGAAATGTAGGAGATGTCACAGATACTAAGAAGATCTCAGTGACTTCTCAAATTATCTTATGACTTGACTTTACATTTTAGAAGTGGTGTTTCTTAATGTTTTACTCCCGTAATTTATTAATTTAGTGTTTACATTTGCACAACATATAATTATGCAAATAGCCTTAAAATATGAGGGTGTTTATGTGATACCTAACAATGACCTCGAGATCCTAAAAAAAGTTATGCATTCCACTCATTTTTGTTCAAAATAATACTTATCAATTATATATATATATATATATATATATATATATATATGTTGATGAGTATTATTTAAAAAAAAGTTAATTGACTATAAGGCTACAAAGGTTTATATATAAACAAATAAAAGTTTTAATTAAGAAAATATAATAAAAATTATTAAATTAGATTTAAATGATATTTTAATATAAATAATAGTTTTTAAATCTTGCCCCAACCATTAACATCTCATGACTACGTGATTAGGGTTGTCAAAAGGACTTTTTGTTAGTGAACCACTTGTTCGTGAATCACTCGTGTTCGGCTCGCTAAGCAAACGAGCGGAACACGAACACACTTTTTGAGCTCGAAATATAAACGAGTCGAACACCAAGTGAGTCTGGACTCGCTTGTGTTAGTCTCGTTTACACCGCTAGTTTTGGCTGCTTCCTATGTAAAAACCCTTTAATATTAAGTGGTAGGTATGTTAAACTAATACATGTATTAATGTAAATGCCCCTGTTTTGAATAATGCCTCTCCCATTAATGGGTGGTAAGAACTCCAAATACAAAAGAAATATAAGATTGATTTAGAATTAAATGAATGAGAATTTAGGATTTGCCTCGGTTATCATGTAGATTTTGATTAAGTGGGCTGTGTTAAAATAAATATGTATATTATTAGTCATATTTGAGTTAATGAGATCTTTTTCTTAGGTGGGCTGTGAAAACTGTAATATTACATATATATATATGCAGGATT